TTTTGGTTTTTCAAGACAGGGTTTCTCTGTGTAGTTCTGGCTGTCCTGGAACTCGCTCTGTAGACCAGGCTGGCCTCAAACTCACAGAGATCCGCCTGCCTCTGCCTCCCAAATGCTGGGATTAAAGGTGTGCACCACCACCACCCGGCTAGTCTTGAACTTTATGTAGCCAAGGATGATAACCTTGAACTTCTGATCCTCCTGCCTCTGCCTCTCGAGTGCTGGTTTACAGGCGTGTCCCACCATACCCAGGTGCTTCATGCATGTGGGGTAAACATTCTACCAACCGAGCGACATCCCCAGCCCATAGACCCCACCTTTCCAAGGGTACACTGAGTGCTACTCTGAGGACCACAGTCTCAACATCTCAGCCTCCGGGGACCTCCACCATCCAAGCTCTGCACTGGGTGACCCCATCCAGATGTTCCCACAGGATATCAAAGCCTGAGCCGTTCCTTTGAGCCAGCTAAGAAAGAGGGACAGTGCCCCCCACCCTGTGGCAGGAGAGACTAAGACCCCACAAGGTCATGGGTGCTCAGAGCTACATGGCAGCGCTAGAACTCAAACACTCTGCCTGGTTCTGTTGTCTTGGGTCTTTGGGGTGCACTCATGTGCAGAATGTGTCCCATCCAGGGGGACCCTTTCACACACTGCCCATCTGCCTGTTCAGCGTGGGGTGGCTCAGTCCTGGAGCCTGCAGCTCGCCCTGGGCCTTCCTGCCTCTTGCGCTCCAACCTGCTTTACTGCCCGGCTGAGCCTACAGCAGCAGATGTGAAAGAACTTCATTCCCAGGCATGGCCCTGGCGGGGGGTGGGAGGGCACATTCAGTGGCCCAGAACCAACCTGAGACCCTGGCCTTAGAGAAGACCCCTACAGCACAAGATTGTGTCCTGGGTCCCGAAACAGGGATATGAAAGTGGAACTCTGCATCAGGGGAGCTGAGTGAAGCAAACTTCACCCCCCCCCATCCCGCCAACTCATGCTGGAGAAACTGAGGGCAGAGAGGTGGAGTTGAGGGCCCAGAGTCCATTGTGAATGGGGATCGAGTGCTTGCCTCGCATATACAAAGCTCTGGGTTTCAGCCCTAGCATGGAGCTGTCTATAAGAGAAGATTTACCAGTTCTGAGGCAGGGGTCTCGCGTGGAGCTGCAGAGAAATGGGGTGCATGCCCTACATCAGGCCCCCTGCTGTGGGAACCGTGCCGTCAGTGGGAGGCTAGAAGCCTGGACCAGTGCCTTCCTCACCAGTGGAGAGAGAGGAAGGTTCCAAGGATAAAGAAAATCCAGCTGCCAGGGTGCCGAGGAGACCACAGGGGTGCTGTGGGCAAGTCCCAAGGTGTGGGAGCTCAGGTGAGGCCTTATCAGACAATGGCTACTGTGTCCTTGGGACCTTGATGAGCAGGGGAGGGTAGAGGACATGTCGAGGCAGCTGCTGAGGCTGTGTGCCAGACCACTCCCAATCTCTCCCGCTCTCTCTGTGGGGCCTTCAAGTCCCAACCTGGGCCCAGGGTACCCAGGGCTTCCTGGCCAGGCCGGCTTCACCATCCACTCGCTGTGGGAATGCTGAGCTCGGAACTCCCCAGGCATCATACAAGAGCCCTGGCCTGGAGGACTGAGTCCATGCAGTGTGCCTGTTCAGAGTCGGGTGGGGTGAGGTGGTGGCGCACACCTTTAACCCCAGCACTTGGGAGGCAGAGGCATTCGGATCTCTGAGTTCCAGACCAGCCAGGACTGCATAGTGAGAGCCTATCTCAAAACAAAACAAAAACAGAGTTTGAAGGGGTCTTCAGTAAAGGGCCCCAGACTGTCGGGTCCACTTACGGCAATCCAGGCTCCCCGTCTGAACCTCAGGGTCCGCACCCATGAGACAGTTGAGTTTGAGATTGGAGTCTGCTTTTCCAGGTGTTGTTACTGGGGTGAGAGGGTGTGTCGGGCTTCGTGATGGGACAAGAGGGCTGTTCCCACCCACAAGGCTGAGGAGAACAGAAGCCCGATCCAAATGTTCTGGAAAACTGTTCTGGGAGTGGGGGTGGGAGGCGTGGGGACACTGCTGGCCCACCCTGGGCCCTGCCCTTCCTCTCACGGCTGGATTTAGGCCATGCTCACCCAGCTGCTTCCCCTGATGACGGCTGCTCCTGTGGCCACCCCATAGCTGTGACACGACCCACAGCTTCGCCACCAGCAGCGACAGGGACTGGAGCAGCCGCAGAGGAAGAGACCGTTGCCGTTCCAGATTTTTTTCTAAGGGGGGGGGAGGGGACAATTGTGCCTGGCATCTTTCACACACTCCAGATAAATCTTCCTCTCCCCTCTGTGCCGGGGGCACCATGGTGACCCAGCAGGTACGGGGACCCATTGCCTCAGCAGCGGCTCAGAAGTGAGTGGGATGGTGGGCTGGGGACGTTCGTGCTGTGACAGTGAGTGAGGACAGTCTCAGTCACCAGTGGGGTCCCATGTTACAGATGGGGATTATGAGGCTCAGAGAGGAGAAGGGACCAGCCTGGGGTCACACAGCATGTAAGAGCTAGGGTTGAGATCCACCCACCTTTTGGTCCTTTCCAGGCTTTGGGAGGAGGCAATATGGGTAAAAATGACCCGGCTCAGGCTCTGCCTGGCCACCTACTTGTGGAAACAATGGATGAGAAAGATCCAAGGCCAAAGTATACTACGCAGGCCGGGCAGGCAGGGAGCTGGCGCAGTGCCTGGCTGGAAGTGGAGCAGAGTGTAGCGGTCACCTCTGGGCCAGTGTCTGAACCTGTGCAGAGGGCGGAGTGGCTGTCACCCCCTCCCTGCCCCTTCACCCCGAGACTCTGCTGCAGGGCTCCCCACAGACTTACTGCCCACCAGTCCCATAGTCCAGATGATAAAAATAAGGCTCCCAGAGGGTGTGAGGGTCGCACAAGGTCACAGAGTATGTAAGTATTGTGACCAGGTTCTCTCCAGCGGCATCCTGTCTCAGCCCCTCCTGCCGGGACCATGACAAGGGGAAGGGAAGCCGCCAATTTCCTCCGTCATCACGGTGAGGCTCAGAGAGGGGAAAGCTGTGGGCCCATTCAAGCCAGGTCGGGTTAGCTCTGGAGTAAGGGCAGAGTTCTGTGAGGCTGGTCTTAGCACCCCCAGATGGAGAAACCGGGGCTCACCCTCCTCTGTCCATGGGTTCCCTAGAGACACGTGGCTTCTCTTCCTTGGTTCACTGCCTTCCGATATGTATTTCTCTGCCCTACCTGGAACCCCCACAGCCCCCATCCTCCATGGTGGGTACCAGAGATGGACATTGCTTGAGAACGCACAGCCCGGAGTCGGGCGGTGGCGGCGCACACCTTTAATCCCAGCACTCGGGAGGCAGAGGCAGGCGGATCTCTGTGAGTTTGAGGCCAGCCTGGTCTACAGTGCGAGATCCAGGACAGGCTCTAAAAAAAAAAAAAAAAAAAAAAGGAATGCACAGCCCCAAAGCCTCAGAGCAGATGTGAGACAGGTTGAGCCACACCCTTCCAGGGCCCCTCAGCTTCTCCACTCTCTAGGGAGGGCTGGGTACATCCCACGTCTGTCTGTCTGTGCCAGCCAGGTGCCAGGTACAGAGCCAAGCCTCTGCTTTATGGGCTCCGAGTTCTGGAGGCTGACTATTGTGTCATCCCGCACATGGCTACCACCCATCCTCTCCCATTCCTGTCCAGAAGGCTCAGCCAATCCCAGCTCCACGCTAGTCCACCAGGGCACTGTCCTCCCACATTCCCGTAACACCCACCTTCACGCGCACACACCCTTTACCCTGGGCTCCACTGGCCTCCCTGCCCTGTGGCCTTGGCAGTGGCCAGCTTGTCTGCCTGTGGCCACCTTGGTGCTCCTAGGGAGGGCTAACTAAGTTGGCGCCCTGCCAACATGGCTCCTTCAGCTCCAGTGCCTGGGATGCGCCCGGTGTAAAGTGAGCACGTAAAAATTGAACGAAGCCTGCCCACCCTGAACAGGCCAGGAACACAGCAAGCTTTCCCAGAGGCCCCCTCGTTGGGCTGGAGGGTTCTTAGAGCTGAGAGCCCCAGCTCTGATCCTAAGCCCTGGCTTAGGCCACTGGCTGGTCATCCGCAAATATTTACATTTACAAAGTAAATGCACACAGGAGACATGACCTAGCTAGGAAGGCTGGAGCCATGTGGTCGGTGTGGTCACGACGCCACATGGGCCTGGGGGGTTGGATGTGAACAAGCCCCCCCTCCCCGCTCTGCTCTTTAGAAGGAAAACTCACAGAGTTGAGGGAGCCCAGAGACACCCCCCTCAAACTGCTTCCATCCTCATTTCCAGTTTGGGGAAGGCTCGGAACCCAGCCCACCTTGGCCCTGCTGCCCTGGGCCTTGGTGCTCCTCTGTGCCCTGGTCAATGGAAGGACACTTGGCACAGGAAGGGAGGCAGCTTTGGGGGACACAGGGCTAGAACCTGCGGAGCACACCAGCCTTGTAGGAGTCTGCTCACTGAGCGATGAGCATGCCAACAGGGCTTTGGCATTGGTGGGTGACCTGGTCTGTTTAGGGGGACTTCCTGGAGGAGGTGACATAGAAACCATAGGTGTAGGAATTGGGGCAGGGGAGGTCTCCATGTAGACAGCTGGGGACCTCCTAGATAGTGGGAAGTGGCCCAGAGTCAGTGGAACCTGTGAGGGCCAGCCTTCAGGGCCTTTGTAAGACACAATAAAAACGGACCTCAACCATGAGCCTGCTTTAGGGTCTCTGGGCAAACATCAATGGGAGGGATGGAATGTCTTAACCACAGCAGGCCATGCCCCAGTCCACAGCGTCTTTACTAAGCTATGAACATTAAAGGCCCTCTTACAGTGGGGCATGTCTCCAAAAGTATTTTTATCTGTTTATCAGAGCTTTGGGAGGTTTGCCTGATTTCTGTGAATCCTGAATGAAAACTCAATATTTTCTAGTCCTTTTTGAGTTTTATGGTTTCCTTAAACTTTTTTTCTCTGCTTTGTAGCTGGGTGTCTTAGTTAGGGTTTCTTTTCCTTTTTTTTTTTTTTTTTTTTTTTTTTTTTT